TTTTTTTTTTTTTTTTTTTTTTTTTTTTGAAAGAATCACCTGTGTATTTATACTATGTTAATCTTATATTTATTTGAATTTTAGAAATTAGTAAAGTCACAATTTTTTTCAGCCGGATCACGTTAGTCACGTTACCCAAAAATTCCACGGAGCACATCTACACGTCATTCATGTTGTGTTGAGTTCGTTGGGTTATATGAGAAGCATAAATCAGTTATATTATTTTTCCTTCTAGGCTCCTGCTCACATCTCAACAATTGTTCTAACAATGGCAACTGCTCCATGTTCAGTGTTTGTGTCTGTGAAGAAGGCTTCTACGGCGTCAACTGCTCACAAGGTAGCTTATCCTGCACAAATAACATTTTTTCGCACTGCCGTATCAAATTTATAAAGACAAATTAAGCCCTTTTTTGCGTGTAGTATACTCCTGTTTTACTACTTCAAAACTCTTGTGAAAAAGACCGTATTTTTCAAACGGTTTATGTTTCATATTTATCAAAAGTAAGCAGTAAACCATTAATATCGTGTGGTCTGGCATGGAAAAACATCACGCAAAGCCAAAACGGATCTGCTGGTCGAAATTTTGGGCAATATAAGAGATCAAATGTTTGTTATTCGTGATTTTAAACGAATTACTATGTTATTTGTTATCAGATGAACCCCCTCTTGAACCTCCGGTCCTCGAAGCCTCGTCCAGCGGTGGTATAGAAGACACATCCGTTCCTGTGTTCTTGTCTGCCCACATGGTTGGTATCAACAGAACAGATGACGTTACTTTATCCATTACCATATATGGTGTGCCTGATTCATTTGTATTCACCCGAGGCATGCGCAGTAAAGACCAAGTCACACTACTGAAGCAACAATTTGGTGACTTGTTCGTCACCCCAGCGAAAGACTTCTCAGGGAATTTTACTGTGGACATCGTTGCGCAAGCAGCACGAGGACGCGAAAAAACACAAACTAAGTCTTCATTTACCATTAATGTTAAAGCTAAAGCCGACATACCAAACCTCATTACCGAAGACGCATGCGCTAATTTGACAGGGCTAATACCGCTGCCCATAAAAGCCTGGCTCAATGATAATGACGGCTCAGAGAAACTGACAATAACGTTGTCAGGGTTACCAAATGAATACCAGCTCAGCCGTCAAGGAAGACTAGTGAATGGGACGCACTACTTAGAAACCGATTCTCTTACCGGATTGGTCGCTCGGTACGACGGAGTCTTTGAGCCTTTTGTCTTGAAGGTTGTTGCAACATCTGTGGAAAAATCGAATGGAGACCGCGCGTCAGTCATGAAAATCATCAACGTCACCAGTTGTATTCTACAATGTGAGTAAGACTTCAAAAATCAAACCACTTTTTAGTATGAATGTAATAAACGTATACGTAAATGTTTACGACCGTGTGATGGTTATCATTGGATGAACAGAAATTTTGGATGCAGTCAGTCAGTCATGACCGTGACATCACGCTTTCATTATGGATAGATAAAAATCATCATCATCATCATCTCTTGGCCAATTAGAAGAGAGAGAAAAATGACATTAACACGTGAAGAGAGAGAAAAATCACATTAACACGTGATATATAACTAAATCAATTGTTTCCTTACCTTACCCAGGGACTTGTGAGAAGAATTGCTCAGATCACGGGGTCTGTGTTGCACCAGACAAGTGCAGATGTGAAGAGGGATACACAGAACCAGATTGTTCTCAAGGTAAATAATTACGAAAATATGCAGGGATTTCATAATATTCCTATCGAATTCTTAACCAACAAAATTTTAAGATTCAGGTGCTTGTTCTTCCTATGGCTGGACGCTTACTGTCGGTCAAGAGAAATATAACAGTCCGAGAACAAAACGCCATGAGCATTTTGCAATCTTCTTTTGTTTCAGATTTACATACGTAAATCGACTTTAAACCATGTTGCCAAAAGGAAAAAAAGGAGGCAGTTTATATGAAAGTGGAGATTCAGGAAATTTTGACCCATCCTACCATCCTCCCCTTTTCTCTCCCCTCACTCTAAAAATAACCAGACTTTGGGACTGAATATGTACTTTTAAAGAATCTTTTATTGATTTCCTCAGATTCTACTGTAAATACAAATCCCGGAGACGCAAAAAACTTGGCTGCTATTGTAGGGGGCAGCGTAGGCGGTGTGATATTTCTTCTCTTGMTCGTTGCACTGGTTGCCATGGCTTTACGAGCTCATCAAAGTAAAATCGATAAAAATGGTGAGTCAAAACATAATCCCATCTAGAAAAATCCCCTTCAAATGCTTACAGAGTGCAAACAATATAACCGTGAAACTTTAGTAATACTAAATAGCACAATTTCATGCAAAATTCCATTGTTTTCTATTGTTTAATTAGCACTATTTTGTACTATTTAGTAATTAGTGTTTCGCGGATTAATTGTTTGCACTCTATGTCGATGAAGCATTAATGATGTTTTAAGGAGGCTCAGGGTAGTTTTGGTCTGGCACACCTAGCCGCATTGAAACGGCTACAACTTCGTCTTGAATAACTCGATCTGCAAGCGCTTTTCACACAAT